ACCTTTGTTGATTGATTCTTTGGACTATTTGTTTATACTGCTATCTATTTCAAACTACTTTGCCTTGCCGTAGCTTTTGTTTTATCTAATATGTTTACTCTACTGAATTTGCCATTACATCTATATTGTAGAGCTCTCATCGCTTCATGACGAATTTCCTTTGAACGACAATTTGAACCTTATTTGAACGACACCTCCAAGGTTTCCTCCACTGTTATTCATCAATCCCCAGTTGTGTGTTTCCCCGTCAGATTTACATTCGGCCCCCAATTTCCGTAGCCATACCGCTGCAGGAGCAAGTCCCATTCCCCACTTTCGAAGGACTCAAGAACCAGTGGGATTCTTATCCCCGGCCGGGCTTTGAAAGGAAGGGGAGAGGTTTGCGTTGTCCCAACGGTGCGGCATAGTCCGAGGAGGTGAAGACTCGGCGTCTCTTGGTTCTTTGCCGCGAGTGAGTCTTTCAATCTCCTTGGCAAGACCTTGGATCGACGCCTAGACATCAGTGAGACCTGGCGTGAGCGCAGTCGCATTATTGCCAGGGATAGAAACCATCCATGTTAAAAACTCACATTCTTTTTAGCAAAGCAAACAATGAACTCTGTGGCAACAAAGATCCCCCAGCTCTGTCGTTCTTTTTAAAACAAACCCAGGACTGTAAGATTGCAAAAACTGACGGTCTTGACCGAACAGCTATGCTCCTTCTATCGTCTCCATCATCCCACAAGCTCCCATTGCGAACAATGTCATTCGCCAAATCGACGTGACGGAAATTGAGACTAAAGAAGAGCTAGAAACGCCCATACGTCTCCCGTCTTGCCGGCGATCAACCATCATCATAAAATTCGTCTGCACATCATGCGATTGAGCAATCTATTTTTTTACATATATCCAACTTCATTGCGAATAAATCAATAACGATACTGAAGTTGAACGCCAATCTTGGCGTTGAGGAAAAAACAGACGCGAGGCGTTGATGCCTTCAGACGTGCCCTTTTCCTGCACGCTGATTGGTAGAATTGTCCGTTGCGTACAGACCAAGCGCCGTTGCGTACAGATCAAAGCCGTTGCGTACAGATCAAAAATTTGACGTACAGATCAAAAATTTG